GGCGTGCCCCCCGGGCGCGGCAATGAATGGGGCGTCTCTCCGCTTCGTGCGGGGGCTCGGGGGGGCAGGCGGGGTCTCCAGCGTTTCCCGGGGGGTGCAGGGAAAGCAGCACCCCCGGATGCTTAGAAATCCATCCCGTTAAAGTGCCATATGTAGTGGGTAGAGCTAAAACCCGCCCCACGCGTGGGACAAAAGTCACTCCGGGAGGAAGTGATTGTTCTCTTTTCTCTCGGCACGAGCAAAAGGATATCCCATCCCTTCTTTTCCACTGCCAAATGCTACCCTCTGAATCCCAGGGTTTGGGGTTGCACCCCATTTTCCCCCCCCTCCTTGCAGGCCATGCCCCCTTTCCCCCGGGGTCCTGCCTGGCGAGCGAGGAGCTTCTGCTGCACACCGAGAAGTTAAGCAGGGATTAAAAATAGTCTAGAGCAGAGCCAGGCTCTTCGCTGGCCCAAACCCCAGGTAGGAGAGGAGAAAAGCAGAGGGCTCAGCCCAGGCACCCACCAAGGCTGGGACTGACCTGGAGTAGAGGGTGAGGACTTCTCCTGGGATCAGCAGATGTTTTCTTTATACCTTCAGCCACCTCAGGGTGATAACTGGGCAGCTGAGGACATGAGCGTTATAAAAAAGCAGCATCTTGGCTGCGGGATGGTAAATATGGAATAGGGAACAGGTGACGTATAATCCCTGGGGTCCTGCCATGACAGGGCAGTTAATTATTCATGGGGTTCATTCTGTCCTGGCTCGTGATGAAAGCTCAGGTCTGAGGTAGAGCCCATCCTCCATTCGGGGTGGGGAAACTGAGTCACAGAAAGGCGAGAGACCCACTGAAAGAGTCCCGGCTGCAGAAAGAGGGTTGGGGACACGGATGTGTCACCTCTAAGATGGTCTGGCAGGACTCATAGGTCACTCAACCTATGAAATAGAATTTATTTTAACATCACCAGGAAAAGGGAAGAGCTCCAAGGGCAAGCGGGTGGGAGATGACTCACTGGTTGCCTTGCCCGGGCAGCTGAGCGATGCCTCCATTGACTTCTCCCATGGCAGCTCCCTCCTTTCCCTGCTGCCCGGGGTTTGGCACGGGGCTGGCTCTGGGCTCAGCTGCTTGGGAAAAGGCACCAGTCAGGGAAATGCTTTGGCTGGATAATTTGTTTTCCCCAGAGGAGCCTTGTACCTGGGAGGGACAGAGGAGATGCTCCCCCTGAGCTCTCAAAGCGGAGCCGTGCCTCAGTTTCCCTCTGGGGCTACCGCTTCTCCAAGTCAAGCCGGTTTCAGGAGGAACGTGCTAGCAGCCCAAGTTGTTCCTCTTGCACCCTGGGAAGCCAGTGCCCTGACGCTGATTTATTGTGAATACAGCTATTGTGTCCCAAACCCTGGGTGCTAAAGGCTCTGGGTGGAGCGGCGAGGTGCTGGGGGAGAGCTGGGCTGTGGCAGCGGCAGCTCTGGCAGCGATATCGGGGCTCATTTTTGTACGAGGGAGGAACGCGGGTCACGAGGGGCCTGGCAAGCTCTCGGGATGCTCGGGAGCAAGCTGTGGTAGCCAGTGGTGCTGGGCAGCTTGCCCTCGCCTCTCCTCACATCAAGCTCCAAGGTGCTCTGGTTTTATTCCCCGTTTTTTCAGGGGCAACCCCGTGTTGGAGATTTTCCTGCCACAGGCAGGGCTGGACATCGCAGCTCTGGCAGAGCCGAGGATCTGCAAAGCTCTGCTGTTTGGTTTTGAGGCATTTTGGACACCTCCTCTTGGAGGATGGGGAGGTAACAGCCCCAGCACTGAGGGAAGAGCTGGGAAAGAGAGAAACAAAAGGGGAGGAGAAGCAGCGAGGAGGAGAAGAGGCTCACGTGGCTTCCCTGGCCACCAGCCAGCGCCTCCGGCACAACAGCTGCCTCTGGGTCCCTCAGGTCCCCGATGCACTCATCCCTTGGCCTGTGCCAGGCTGGAAGCAGGGAAGCAGACCCCCTCCTGCGTTGGACAGCGGGGTGGGTGGGTGCTTTGTTGTCGCGTGACAGCCACTACTAGCTCCCGATGCGTGGGGGATGCCGGTCTCCTGCCTATCCTGCTCTCTGCCTCTGGCTCCCAGCACCATCTGAGTGTTTTCTTCCATTTTTCCCCAGTGTGTGCTGCGTGAGAGAAGCCTCCCCGTGAGAGGGACGCCCTGCCCTGTGCTCGCCTCTGCTTTCTTACCAAGCAAGGATGCTCTGCCTGCTGCTTGCCCTGGGAGTGCTGGCGCTCAGCCTGGCAGGTGGGTAGTGGGGCTGGCGGGTGCTGGTTTGGGGTTGGCATGATCTGCGTGGTCACTTCCTTAAAGGAGACATCCCAAATGCCATGTTCATCACCACACAGCTGCCTTTGACCTGGGGTTCCTGGTGACAGCACCTTTCTCTTGGTTTCATGCTCCTCCAGCTGCCCAGGGCATCACCCCATGAGTGTGATGGCTTCTGGAGCACAAAGGCCACCCTCGTAGCATGGGACACGGGACACGTAGCAGCCTTCTGCCCCCTGTGGCCATCTGGGCGAGTTTTCAGGCCTGGATCCTTTCAGGCTGCTTGTCAGCTACTCTGGCCAGGCTGGGTAGTGTTCCTAAAACCCACTGGCATTTATTATTAGCCAGAGGGCAACATGACACTCTCCAGTCTGCCAAGAGTCAGACAGGCTGCCCAAGTGCTCTTGCCCTGCCTGTCTGCCCGTCTGTGGCCCCTGGCAGGTGTCCTCCAGCCTGGCTCCTTCCCACAGCTCCTCATCCTCCCTGCTCGGGCTTTTGCTTAGAATGTAACATCTCGTTGCTGCTTTCGTCCCCTGGGAGGCAGGTGCTGCAGGAAACAGCCCTGCTGTGTTCTGCAACTGTGTCAAGGTCGGAATAGAAAGCAAATCCTTGGTCCAAGTGGAGCTTTGGGCTAATTCAGCCTGGAGAAGAGAAAGCTCTGGGGAGACCTTGTGGCCTTTCAGGACTTCAAGGGGCCAATAAGAGAGATGAGGACAGACTTTTCAGCAGGGCCTGTTGGGACAGGACAAGGGAGGATGGTTTGAAACTCAAAGAGGGAGATTTAGACTAGAGAGAAGGAAGAAATTTTTGATGCTGAGGGTGGTGAGCCCCTGGCCCAGGTTGCCCAGAGAGGTGGTTGATGCCCCATCCCTGGAACCATTCCAGGTGAGGTTGGCCAGGGCACTGAGCAATCTGCTCTAGTTGGGGATGTCCCTGCTTAGTGCAGTGGGGTTGGACGAGATGGCCTTTAAAGGTCCCTTCCCACCCAAACCATTCTGATTCTATGTTTTTCCCCCTTTTCCTCCCCAGTGAGTGAAGGAAGCTGATGGTGTCCTGGGCCTGTTTTGGGGGATGTTGCTGCTCACTGCCAAGAGACACCCCCAGACCAGCTCTGAGCGGAGGCTCCGGCAGCCCTGGCAGGGGTGGCATCGCTCCCCGATGCAGTGGAAGGGTTGGCATCATGCCGTGGCACTGGCATGAGCATGGCTTCTTGCCCTGGTGCTGGCTGGCATCGTGCTGGAGCACTGGTGCCATCTAGTGCCTGCCAGCCTGGCCATGGTGCTGCCCAGAGCTGCCTCATCCTGGGCACAGCTGACTGTCCTCACTGCTGTCACCTACCACCCTTCTTTCTCCGTGGGGAGAAGCAGGGCTACGTGTCTTGGCTTGGGTGCCCCTGGCTGCAGCTGGCAGTGATCCCCCAAGTTTGATCCTGGATGTGGGACAATCTCACTGCTAGCAGGGTGGACTTGGTTGGAGGTTGGTGCTGAGGATGGTCCTGAGATGACACCTACCCATGAATCCCTCTCATAGCTATCCCTCAATTTGCTTAGATGTTATCCAGAGGGAGAGTTAAGGAGGTGCTTCTGCAGGGTCTCACCACCACGTGCTTTTGTCCTCATCACCTTCCCATAGGTGCCATGGACATCCAGGTCCCAGATGAGCCCGTGGTGGCTCTTTTTGGGCGAGATGCCACTCTGCACTGCTCATTCTCCCCCGAAGCCAACTTCAGCCTCAATGACCTGACCCTCATCTGGCACCTGACGGACACCCAGCGCTCAGTCCACAGGTTCTCTGGTGGACAGGACCAGCTGGCAGACCAGGGGAGTGGCTATGCCAACCGTACAGCTCTCTTCTATGACCAGCTGGCCCAGGGCAACGTCTCGTTGCTCCTCAGACGTGTGGAGATCTCAGATGAGGGCAGCTTCACCTGCTTTGTCCGTGTCCAGGACTACAACAGCGCAGCTGTGACGCTCCAGGTGGCAGGTGAGAGATGGAGACTTGGAGTGTCTCTATGAGTCTCCACAAAGAGAAGAGTTCTCCATCATAGAGAAGAGTTCTCCATCATGCTTTACTCCTCTATGGAGCATCTTTCTCTTTCCATCCTTGCCCTGGTCTCCCCATGAAATCAGGTCTCTGTTAGATACCAACCAGCTTTATCTCCCCAAAATTGATGGGGGTGGGGTGGGGGAAGTTGTGATCTCTTCCCTGACATGATGGAGAGACTCTTAGTTAAGAGGCCATCTGGAAGCCTGGCTGTAAATGAACCAAAGCTGGAGAGGCTTCAGCTGGTTGGTCCTACTAGTTGGAAGAGTCTGTCCTTCAGCTTGCCCAGTGTCATTGGGTTGTTCCAGATCCTGATCCTTTTGGTCTCCTCTGTTGCATCATGCCGGCTGTCCTCTCCCTTGCAGCTCCCTACTCCAAGCCCAATATGAACCTGGAGCCCAACAAGGACTTGAAGCCAGGAGATCTGGCAGCCGTGACCTGCCATGCTTCCCGCGGCTACCCCCAGGCCGAGGCCAACGTCCTCTGGCAGGACAGCCACGGCAGCAACATCACTGAAAACATCACCACGTTCCAGGTGGCTAATGAGGAAGGTCTCTTTGATGTCAACAGTGTCCTCCAGGTGCTGGTGGAGCCTGGCAGCACCTACTCCTGCCTGGTGCACAACCCAGTGCTGCAGCAGGAGACCAAAGCTTCCGTCACCATCACGGGTGAGCCAGTGAGGGCCAAAACTGGGGCAAGGAAGGGATGGGCTCTGTCTGCAGAAGGTGATCATGGTGGCACTGGGATCCCTACCGTGGCCCAGAGCCACCCTGAGGGCTGCTACCCCATATCTCCACTCTGCCTCTCGCCCCATGGACATACAAGGGTGACTTGAGGCTGTGGTGCCCTTCCCTGTCACCCCACACCAGTGGTCCCAGCTAGAACCAGCATCCTTAGCCTCTAGCTTTGCTGGTTGCCCCATCCCAGTCTAAAGCACCTCAGCAAGCCAGCACAGTGGCCATGGGATGCTCTTGGTTTGAAGTTCTCCATCCTGGCAGCACCCATCCTTTTTCAGAAGTACAGGCTGGAGGAGTTAATAAAAAACATCCAGCCCTGTCGCTTTGCTCTGAGCTCCTCCTGCTGCCCTCCCAGAGCCTTTCGTAAACTTGTGTGCTCCGCAGCAGCAGTAATTTGTGCTTAATTACCCTTGGTACAGCACTTCTTGGGCTGGGAAAGTGGTCCCTGGTGGAACATAAACTTTTTGACTGGATAAACCAAATTCTTGCAGGAAAACTTGCACTGGATGCTGCTTGGGGACAGAGGGTGGCTACTATATGGGCAATCAGATGCATGAGCAAACAGTCAAGGTTGGCATGATGTCTTGGGGCAAGACTTTACTTGAAGAAGGAGCAATATTATGGGGAAAAGGCAGATTCCCAGCACTCCAGGAGGTATCCCCCAAGCCCTGGTGGTCCCTGCCAGGCCATTCCAGACCCTGGGGAAGGTGCCTCCATCCTTCCCAGCGCCGTGGCATGAGAGCAGAGGGGAAAGGGAGGGGGTACAGCATCATCTAATGCTTCTCTTGAGCTTCTTACCAAGTGAAGGGTCAGCCTGCACTTTAAATTTATTAATGCAATTATTTAAAGGTTAACAAAGTATTTTAGGGAGTGACTCAATCTGCTGCATTCCCAGACCTGCTGGGGGAGGCTGTAATTAGAGGCACCGATGCTTTTCCTTCCAAAGCCACCCCTTATGCCACCGACTCCCTCCACGGGCCATGCCCCTGCCACGCTGGGGGTCCTGAATGCTGGACACATGTCCCCCAAGGTCAGGCAGCTATGCTCACTGTGGTGGGATCTCTCTTTCCTCCCCCTGCAAGGCCACCACCTCGCCTTCCCTGCTGTGGCTCTCTGGGTAACGGTGGGACTGGCCATCTGCGTGGCGGGGCTGCTCGCCATCCTGCTGTACATCTGCCAGAAGAAAATCCGCCAGAGCTCCGAGGAGGAGGAGAACGCAGGTAACGGGGTGGCCACCACCCTGGAGAAGGGATGGGCTCGGCAGGGGAGGTGGATGGTGTGGAGCTGATTTTAACTGTCACGGCAGTGGCATCTTTTCAAGGATGAAGGGGTGCTTGGAGCTGCTGGGGTTGGTGGGCACCAGCAGAGCTGTAGCAGAGAGCCTGCGCTGCCTGCCTGCACTGCTCCAGGTGGCTCTCTCAAACATACACCTGCTTTTTCTGTCACCCAATGTGTCTCTACTTTTCACCCTCCTGTGCGTCTGGTACCCAAACCGGTCGTGTGTGGAGCATCTCCTCCCAGAAGGTGCCTCTGGCACTTGGCACTGTGGAAATGCCAAGAGCTTCGGCACGTGGAAGTAGCATGAGGTGCTCTGCACTCCTTTTCTGCATCCTTCTGCTGCTTGATGTTGGTTTTTTTCTTCTTATGGAGAGGTGTTTGCACAAATCCGGGGGGGTTGTTGCTTTAAAAAGAGCTGCCGTGCTCCAAAAATGGCTGCAGAAGGAGCTTCACAGGCGTTCCCCATTTGTTTTCTCTCGCTGCCTCCTGAGGCGTTGGCTCTGCCAGAGCCTTTCCCTGCCAGCACTGTGCTGTGGGGCTGAGACCCGCAGAACCCTCCCTGGGGGCTCCTGCTTCTCGCCCCCTCTCTCTGCTGGGGAGGACATTGGTGCCGATGCCACCAAGATGTCTGGCTGTCAGGTGCCCCCAGCAACAAGGACCAAGAGGGCATTCACCTGGCAGGTCCCAGGGAATCATCTGCAGGATATATATATATTTTAAAAAATAGATATATGGGTTTTTTTCCCTCTCTGTAACATCATTTTGTCCTCAGACAGGGGATTTGCAGTGCCGTGATGCTCAGCCATGGCCCTGGGCCAGCTGACCTCAGTCCTTTAGCATCAGGACATGGCTCCCAGCCTGTGATGTTTTGCACCGCTGGCTGCACGCCCTCAGAAATAACCTTTTGCCGTGGCTCTTGGTCAGCCAGAAACCAGGCTGGGACCCTGCCTGCGAGCCTGGCCGCCACGGGAGGCAGGAGCTGCGATTTTTACCAGTCTTTCTGGCTAGGAACAGCATCTTGACAGGTCTCACCCATGGGGTGCAAAGCTCCTGGGCCGAGGGAGGGAGGAGGGGATGCTTATCCCTCAGCGTGTCCCGGAGGCACTGGGGGATCTGTGGTCTCCTCACTAAGCCCCTCACTGAGCTCTGCTCCAGATGGTGGCTCTGCTATAAATAGGGAGGTGAGCGGCTGCGCCATGTTGCCCAGAGCTGTGGCTTTTCCTGCTTTGCTTTTCGGGAATGTGCCACCTCAGCACAGCCATGTGCTAGTGGAAGGACTCCCGTGGGGTGCTGGCTGCAGGTGGGTACCAGCCACCACCTCCCCAAGCATCACCAGCGGCCCGGCAGCACCTGACCCTGAGCAGAGCTTGGGATTTGTGATGGCTCCGAGGTGGGGCACCCACCCAAGCTGGCTGCCCGGGGAGGTGGGTTCCAGGGGTGGGCACTGCGCTGGAGCCCAGCAGATGCTTCACATGCTTTTTTGCAGGGACGGAGGAGCAGGATGAGGAGGGGGAAGAGCCCAAGACAGGTGGGTGCATGATGCTTGCTTATTATCTCTGTGACTCTTGCCACTGTCCCCTACGCAAGTGAACACCCCGTGCACATTCCATTGGTGCTTGGCCCCCCCTGTGCTTGCCTGCTCTTCAGCACACTGTCTCAGGCTGGCAGTTCCCTGATAAGCCACCCTATCTCTTAATAAAACAGCTCTGCTGTCATCAAATGGGTTAATTATATGCTTGGTGATGTCCTTTATCTGCTGGCACAGGATCCAGCCCGCTTGGAACGCCAGCTCCTTTGCTGCCAGGGAAATCGGGGGACAGGGCGTTGATATGCAATAATGGGTGCAGTTATTGGGGTGGGTTCCCCAAAAACAGGACTCTGAGCTGTTTTCCTCCAGGGAGGCTTTCCCCTGCAGGCCCCCTGTCCCACACAGTGGGGTCTGACCGTGTGCTGGTTTGTTCTCAGCTCTGCAGCCGCTGAGGAGCACGGAGAGCGGAGACAGCGAGTGCGTTTGCCAGACAGTGGTGGGGGACCATGACCTGCCTCAGGAGCAAGGTGGGTTCCTCAGCACACTGAAGATGGTGCTCAGCTCGAACTGCAAAGCATCTGTTGCATCCCTGTCATCTGTTGTTTGGGGTTCTTTCCTCCTTTTTTGCAATTTTTAATTTTGGCGGGGCTGGTCCTTGCATGGAGGGAGGCATGAGCTTCATCCCTCTTGACGCAGAATTCCCCAGCGGCAGCCTGGTGCTGAATTTCTGGTGGGGGTTCATGAAAATTGGAGTCATGGCCCCTCTCTCTGTCTTTTGGTGCCTTCTCGCAGCCTCACAGCTCAGTGCTGTCAGTAGCCCATCACTCAGCCCAGCCTGGTGATGGGCTCCATCACCTTCTCTGCCTGGTTAGTCCCACTCCTCCCCGACTCATCCTCTTCCCAAGATCTCAATCTTTTAATTCATTTCCTTTCTTATTCAAGGCAGAGGCTTGTCTTTTGCTGCTGGTGAATCGCTGCTAATTCCACCTCCCTTCCTCTTATTTAACAACCCTGGTGTTTCTCTAGTGCCATTTCCCCCCCACCCCGACTGGATTTGAAAAGCTTTTCCTCCCTTCCCCTTCACACCTTTAGTGAAGCATCCACCAACTCCACCTTTCCTCTCTCTTTTTTTTTTCCTCCTCTGCCCTTATCTCCCCCTCACAAGCTGCTGCAGCCTGTGCTTGGCTTCCCAGCCCCTTGGCTTTTCATCCCCGATGCAGCCTGTTGGCTTAACCCCCCATGTGTGAGACATCTCCCGCTTGCTCCTCAGCCACTTCTGCAGCAGAACCCAAGCTTGAATAACAACATCTCCCAGGGTTTGCCGCCAGCAGGGCAATTTCTGCCTAGGAGGATGGATGGAGGGATAAAACCACACGTCTACATGCCTGGTTGTACTTACCTGAGGCTGGCATCAGCCCTGGGAGTGGAGATCCCAGTTTCCCAGGGCAAAGAGACTGCAGCAACCAAATTAACTCATTAATTAGACCTGTGAATTATTTTTTTTTAATGCCTTTGCCAATTTTTATTTAGTCTTTTTTTTTTTTTATCCCCAGATAACGAGCAAGAAATCGATTGACGGGAGCTGGGACACCCCCTGTGTCCCGGTCCAGCCAAGATGTCCGCAGTGGGGATGAGCTTCAGGTCCCCTGGGGAGGGCACAGACCTGCTGCCACCCCTCATCCCAGCCCCGTCTCCCTCCTCCCTGCCTGGCCAGGTCTTTGGGGTGCCCTGGGGCTAGAGAGTGGCTGCATCTCTATCCCTGGCGAGCCCCAGGGACCAGTGCTTCCTTCCCAGGGACAGTGTGCATGGGGTGGAGGTTCTTCCCTGTCCATCTGTCCATCCCTATGTGAGGCTGAGAGCAACCAGGGTCTGTCGCTGCCCCTGGCACCCTCTGTGCCTGCTCCTGCCTGGCTGTAGCTGAGCCAGCCCCTCCCAGGTGCCTTTCAGGACAAATTTCAGTACCTTTTCTGAGCCCAGAGGCCTCGAGGGGGGTGATGGGCTCAGCGAGGTCCCTGCGAGTGACCGATGGAGTCCTGGAGGCTCTGGGAAGATGGAGGGGACCCTGTGGAACCCCCAGGCAGGGGGGCCAGAGCTGGTGCTCTCAGCCCTGATGGATACACTCCTCTGGGGACATGTGGGGATGATTATTTTCTCACATTGCACCACTGTGGTTCTGCTGGACTTTTATTTTTGCCTTAAATGCAAAATCCCATTGGGGCCGTTATCCCCTGCCTGGGAAATTTTTTGGGGGGGTGTTGAAAGGCAGGGCTTGAGGGGGAACCTGCTGGCTGGGTGATGCCCTCTTGTCCTCCCTGTGGTGACAAAGCTGATGCTCTGGGGGCTAGAGCACTGGCGGGGCTGGACCTGGCTGGGGCAGGGGGTTGAGCCCCTGTGTTTCCCATGGGCGCAGAGGTCTTTGCCCCCCCATGTGTGTCCTGGGGGTCCTCCCTCTGCCTGGGGACACCCAGGCTGCCGGGGTGAACGAGGTAGTGTGTCCCTGGGTGAAGTCCCTGCTGTGCCCCTCGCTGGTTCTTCTGCTGGTTTGTGTCATTATTTAAAAGGCAGAATCTGAAAGGGATTTTTGTGCCTTGACCAATAAATCTGGGGGTTGTTTTGGACAATGCTTTCTGGGCTCAGTGTGGTGTCTGGGGTGCAACTTTGACCGTAAATAGCTTAAAACCTACATTCCCAGAGCAGAACCTTTCTGTCCACATTTCAGCGCAGCCCCATCTGTCCCTTGGTGCCCTGCTGCCACCACAGCATCTCACAGCTTGTACCCCTCATCCATCACGAGGAGAAAACTGATGGAACGACGCCTGCCCTCAGCCCTCCTTATTTTAGTATCTTGAGCAGCAGAATGAGGAGCAAAATCCCAAAGGGACATCGTCATCCATCTGAGATCACTCCAAAATTCAGGCTGGTTAATCCCAGCGATGGGATGCGAGTGGGGTCTGATGGGGGCCGATGGGGAAGGGGCCTTCTGGAGTCACCCGTGGAGGATTATTTTTAGCTGCCCTTCCCCAGGCACAAAGCCAGCCTCTTAGTGTCAGAAGAAAAATATTTCTAAAAGCCTGACAAGGGAAAGTGTGCTAGTATCAAACTCGGCTTAGGAAGGGGATGGATGGTGATTTCATTTCAGGGGTTTAAGCTACGGCCTGAATTGAACACCATCACAGTTTTTAACGAGGTGCCAGGAGGTACCATTAATATTATTTAGTGCCCAGATGCTGGGCTGGGGGAATGAAGCCATTAACCCACAGGCAGCAGGATGAGTTGTCCCCACGTCCAGGACATCTTTAGAGGTCCTCAGATCGTGCCAGCATCCCCAGGGAGGTCTCCTCCAGCTGGGATCTTTCTGGGGCATTTCTCTGCACAGATTTGAGGGGGTTTGGGGCAAAATGCAGCCTGGGAAGGGAGATTTGAGGGTGGTGAAAGAGAAAACCATAATTAAGCTGTAGCAGCCCAAGGAAAACATTGCTTAGGTGGGTCAGGCTGGTGAGCCATCCCGAACCGTGAGCTTTTGCTGGGGGCTGAGCTGCTCACCGCTGTCCTCAGGAGGATGCTCTGCCCTTTGACACAGGATAAAACACCCCAAGAGAAGCTTAGTTGTCCCCCTCATCCCCAACTGCGCTCTTGCTTTTGGGGGGAGGAAACCATCCATCCTCTTCTTCAATGTCTCATTAATGTAACACAGTGGTTTATGGGTGCTGTGGCATCCCTGGGCAGGGATGAGGCTGGTCAGCTGCGACGCTGTAGTTCTGCAAGATTTTTTTCCATTCCCCAAAAGCCCTGAGATCCTTCTCCACCCGCTCCTGGATAACAGTGAACCTGGCAGCCGGAAAAATGAGATTTAACAGGGATGCAGAGCGTGAAGGACCCGGCACTGGGAGCTGGCAGCAGCTCAGCTGTCAGAGCTTGCTTGTGTTTGCTCTCGTCCCTCCTGGGAGCTGGCGAGGCTGAGAATTCATCCAAAACATGGGTCAAAACCAACCAAAAAATCCCATTTGGCAGGTTATTTCAGAAATACCAGGGCGAGTCTCTCCCCAGTGCCGATCGATGGCAGCTTGACGCTCTCCGTCAATAATAGATAAAGGGCTCCTGCTTCTATTGACCTAATTCTGGAGAGAGAGAAGAGGAGAGAGATGCTGAGCCTTGTTGCTTCCTCCCGCCCAAGGACCATATAAACGGCTGGGATGAGATGGGATGGGATGAGATGGGATGGGATAGGGGATGGACGATGGGATGGGGTGGGATTCAGGATGCCCCTGCAGTGCTGGGGCAGGGTTGCTGCCTGCCCCTGTTGTTCCCTCATCCTGCCCCGATTCCCGGATGAGGCCGTGCCCCTGCAGGCAGCAGGGATGCTTTGGAAACTCAATGAGGTGGGTCTGATCCAAGAGCCACCCAGCACCTGTGCGTGCCCCTGTCCTGTGGTGTGGGTCATGGTTTTCCAGACATGATGGGTTTGCAGGAGGCACCGTTTTCTACAAGGGCTTGTTTCAGTGGGGTGAAGTTTCATCACGAGGAGCAGGATCCGGCTCCTGTGCTGCCCCCAAATACCAAATTCTTAGCTTCAAAATTGCCCAGCCACCCTGAATTCAGCTGGCAAGCTCAGAACAACCTGGCTGAGCTGCTTTCTGGTTTTAAGGCTACTGCAGATGTAATATCTGACTTTCCCAGGGAAAGCAGAGCCCAAGAACAGCCCCGGGACTGGATCTTCTTGCTGCTCAGATGAGGAAGGTGGGGGGCAAAACCCTGAGGGCCGAGAGCCTGGGGGGTGACTGTCTTGAAAATCACTTCCTACCTCTGCTCGTAGGTTTTCCTGGGTAGCAACTTCCTGAAGAGATTTAAATCTGTCTGGAAGTCTAGGATTTGTTGTGAGCAACCAGTTTTGGTTTTCTTCCCATTTTGTCTTTTCCTGGTGCAACAATGGGGATGGAGAAACCACCCAGCTCCTTGCCAGCTCTGCTTGGGGAATTTGCTTTCCATGGGCGAGTTGGAGCCAATGCAAACCTCTAGCACACTCAAAAGCTCCTTTTTGGCAAAAAAAAAAAAAAAAGGCTGTGAAAAACTCTCAGTTTGTGTCACTGATCCTGGTATCCAAATCCTTCTGGTGCGGGATGAGGAGCGCCGTGGTATTCCCAAGGGAACCACGTGGAGCTGGCACTTTCAGAGCCAGTTTCTCCCTCCCAGGAGTAATTTTTCAGAGCCCAATCCCAAGCGGGTTTTTCCCAGCATCTGGTCCCACTAAGTCAGAGCTAATGGAGGGGTTGAGAGACATTTTAATTACAGATTTGGCTATCCTGCGTGATTTATCGCGGGTAACTCAAGCAATTTATCCATCAGCAGTTACAAGGGAGCCGAAGCAGAAAGAAAGCATGGGGAGTATTTATCGCCGTGACTCAGAAGTCGTTGAAGAGAGATTTGAAACGAAACGGTGATGTTGCTTAAAAACTCCCTACCTGGCATGAAGAAGTTGTCTCCAGCCACGAAAACTAATGAGCTCTCTCATTTCCAAACTCCAGTTCCC